ATAGATAGATAGATAGATAGATAGATAGATAGATAGATAGATAGATAGATAGATAGATATAGATATAGATAGATAGATATAGATATAGATGTAACATGGTGCTTTTTCACCATGCTGTTGTTTTTTTCTCTCCTTCCTGTTTTATTGTTGTACCTGCTGCTCTGACTCCTGTGCGGTCCACTTCCTGTCGGGACAAGCTGACCGTCTCACCTGTGGGACTAATAAAGGATTATCTCCTCTCGTCTTAATGAGCTGTAACAACACAGTGACCAAAAAGTGATTCTGAAAAGATTTATTTTCAAAATAATCCTGTTAAATATTTGCTAAATGATGTCGTTACAAATCAACTTATGCAAATGTGCAAAAAGATCCAGGTGTGTGAGTCGAACCATGGAGCAGAGCTGAGACTGAGCAGCCTTCCCAGGGTCACCTGAGCACACCTGGTCAACCATACGGTCCACGAACCACATCCAAAGAGTGACAGAAGAAATGTAAAGAGAAAACACGGAGCCAAGCTGACACCATGTGAGCAGGTGTTTCTAACAGCTCCACTGTGTTCCCACCTGTATTCTAGCAGGTGACTAAAGGTCCACCTGCACAGGTGAACCTGAGCACTGAGTGCTGACCTCCTGGCACTGATGCAATGCTACACATGCATGCACCATCATCACAGGTCGGTCTTCTCAGGAAGGGTCAGCGCTGCATCACAGGACCTGTTGGAGTCTGATGTCTCCACCTGGAAGGAGGCGGGGCTTCCTGCGTACACCGACTCCAGCAGCTGCTCTGCAGGGGCCGTGTTGGAGGCTGTGGGGGGGTCCTGGATCTGGTCTCTGGCTGCTGCTTCAGAGGGCTGTGTGGTCTGGACCAGCCTCTGCACATCAGCAGCTTTGTGGCCTCTCCTCCTGCCGAGGACCTTCACGTAGTTGGCAGGGACGAGTCCTGTGGTCTGACCGTCCACACTGGCCAGCAGCCAGCCACGAACCCGAGGCTGTTGTTCTGAAAACAACAGGAAATGGAAAAAGGTGACTGTGTGGAATTTAAACTGATCTGTTAGTAAATGTTGTAATTCACCGTTTTTAAACAGCAACACCTTAAATCTGCTGTTTCTGATGTCTTTGAGCAAAGACAGAGCAGTCTGAACACATCTGGACCTGACACCTTCCCACTGGAAGCTTTTTACGATCATTTCTTTATTTTTTATAGAGGTTTTATTTCCCCCTCTTTTAACCTTAATAATCTGGAGTATTTTCTGCAGCTTTATGTAAAATTCTGTATGTTTTAGAACTAATAACTCAACATCAATGGCTGTCATGGACTTAACAAATAACAGCTGTTGATCAAAAACAATACTGTGTTACTGTTTTTACTGATTTAAAAAAGTATTTGATACCACTGACCACAGTGTTCTTCTTGGGAAACTAAACAAATATGGTATAAGAGGTCCAGTACTACAGTGGGTATCAAGTTATTTAACAAATAGGAAACAAGTTTGTACAAGTAAATGATGTAAGGTCTAAATGTTGTAATATTGTATGTGGGGTTCCACAGGGTTCTGTACTTGGACCAAAGTTATTCATTTTATACGTGAATGATTTGGTCAATGTGTCGGGGTTGTTTAGATGTGTTTTATTTGCAGATGACATTACATTTTTCTGCTTGGGTAAAGATATAGAACAGATGTTGGAAATGATAGAAACAGAATCTGTTAAAATACAAATTTGGTTTAAACTAAATAAATTATCATTAAATTTAGATAAAACTAATTATATGATTTTCAGTAATAGAAATAGAACTGTTGATGTTTCATTCAGAGTTTGTGGTTTTTGAGATCTGTAGAGTTATGTAGGTGAAGTTTTTGGGAGTCATTGATGAAAAACTGACATGGAGATCTCATAAATTACTCAAGAACAAAAAAAACAAAATCTATTGCAGTTTTATATATTTATATAATTGTTCCACATTTGATTTATTGTATAGAAATCTGGGGAAATGGAGGTAAAACCATTACTAATACTTTTTTATTTTACAGAAAAAAGCAGTAAAATTATTACCAGAAAACATTACTATCACCCATCAAATATATTATTTCATCAATTGAAATTATTAAAGTTTTACGAGTTGGTTGATTATAATATTTTACTGTTTATGTATAAAACTCATAAAAATGAACATTCAATCACATTATGTCAAGAGGGAAAGTTGTTAAAACCTGAAGGGATTAGAAATGTTTTATAAAACCTAAAACTGGAACAAATTTGAAGGACAGGTGTACTTCAGTCAGAGGAATACGATTATGGAATTATCTGGATAATGATTATAAAAATACTGGCTCAATTCATTTGTTTAAGAGAATGATAAAAGTTAAATTGTTAAAGAAATATGAAATTGTATCATTTGTATTTGTTAGAGTTACTGTTTCAGGAGTTGAAATTTGTGTTTAGTTTTATTATTTGAAAATATTTTTTACAAAAAGGGGCAGATATAAGATTTTTTTTTGTTCTTTTACAGCCTTCCATTTTATTTGATTTGTAATATTTTGTTTGTTTTAATGAAATGAAAAAAGTTAATAATCTTTAAAAAAACAAAAATCATTGAGACTCCAGACTACAATAAAACTGTAAAGAATTACAACGCACTGCTGCATCTGTTGAAATAATAAAAACCTAATAATGATCAGATGTAAACAGTTAATATGAAGCAGGCAGAAGATCTGCTGTGCAGCATCAACAAGGAAGCTCCTGAAACAGCTCCACCTGCTCACCTGAAAACAAAGAGTCATTTTGTCTGAACCTGTAGAGAACAACACAAAACCTCAGTCCAGGAGTGTCAGAAGATCTTTCACCTTTAGGAGCCAGGTTGAGAACATCTCCTGCCCGAACAGAGATCTCCTCGTCAGAAGCAGCTGAGAAATCGTACTCTGCTCGAGCTACAACATGGTCGTCCTCCCCGCTGGCCCAGTTAGAGGCTGAACACACAACATGACAATTAGAGGCTGGACACACAACATGACAGTTAGAGGCTGGACACACAACATGACAGTTAGAGGCTGGACACACAACGTGACAGTTAGAGGATGGACACACAACGTGACAGTTAGAGGCAGGTGTTAGGGTTCTCAGCAGAGGTTCTATCAGGACCAAACAGAGACAGGTGTTATCATACCTGACACAGGTCATAAACTTACGGTGGTCTTCAGAGCCTGAGCTGGAGCTGAGCAGTTTCCAGATGAGGTAGGGACCACCCAGGACCACAGCAAAGAACAGGAAGATTGGCCAGGACTTGACACTCTGCTCCTTGGACCCGTCAGGCCTGGAGGAGGCTGCAGGGACAGCATCACTCATACTGTCAGCCCACAAGTCTTCAACATCCCCCCCTGAGCTCCTCAGCAGCCGCCGCAGCCAGCGGTACAGGTAGCGCAGCGTTCGCACCAAAGCAAAGGCTGACAGGACTCTGGTGAGGTCTGCACGCAGCCTGCTCAGGTGGTTGGCCACGTCCAGAACAGCTCGAAAACTGTTGTAGACCGCCGAGAAGGTGGCGTCCAGCATCATGCTGACCGAAGCAAAGGCCTGCACGATGCTTTCTATGGACTGAAAGGCACCACGGCTGCTCTCCTCAGCCTGCTGCACAAAGCGACTGGGGGCAACATCCTCTGTGTGGGGGAAGTGTCTGTAGGCCCCCAGACCATAGCTGCTGCCGTACGGGTAGGGGCTGTAGCCACCACCGTAGAAGGAGCTGCTGTACGGGCTGTAGGAGGACAAGGAGCTGTAGGATGGACGGTAGGACTGCTGTACTGGACGAGGAGGTACTGGGGGGGCCATCCTGGTTAGGACCGGATGGCCCACAGAGGTCAGGGGGCTTCCTGTTGCTGGTCCAAACCCTGCAGACCTGTTCAGGGACACAGCTGAGTTCAGATATAGGACAAGGTGTCTGCAGAGATCAGCTAACCTAACCTAACCCTTAACCCTAATCCAAACTAACCCTTAACCCTAATCTAAACTAACCCTTAACCCTTATCTAAACTAACCCTNTGTACTTTAACTGTCTGTATCACAGTATTACAGTACTTTAACTGTCTGTATCACAGTATTACAGTATTTTAACTGTCTGTATCACAGTATTACAGTACTTTAACTGTCTGTATCACAGTATTACAGTATTTTAACTGTCTGTATCACTGTATTACAGTACTTTTAACTGTCTGTATTACAGTATTACAGTACTTTAACTGTCTGTATCACTGTATTACAGTACTTTAACTGTCTGTATCACAGTATTACAGTATTTTAACTGTCTGTATCACAGTTTTACTGTACTTTAACTGTCTGTATCACTGTATTAAAGTATTTTAACTGTCTGTATCACAGTTTTACAGTACTTTAACTGTCTGTATCACTGTATTACTGTACTTTAACTGTCTGTATCACAGTTTTACAGTACTTTAACTGTCTGTATCACTGTATTACTGTACTTTAACTGTCTGTATCACAGTTTTACAGTACTTTAACTGTCTGTATCACTGTATTACT